CGATCAGGGGGTTGGGGAGCTCCCCCCTATCAGGCACAGAGCAGGGCTGATCAGGGGGTTAGGGCGCCTTCCCCTGTCAGGAACAGAGCAGGGTGGATAGGGAGGTTGTGGCCCCGACCCCTGTCACACACAGAGCCGCAGGGCGATCAGGGGGTTTGGGCACTGCCCCCTGTCATGCTGATCCCAGTGCCGGGAGGCCTCGCGGCTCCGCTGATCCCAGTGCTGGGAGGCATATTACCCTTTTACTATATAGGGTAGAGGCCTGGTGCACGGGTGGGTGCCGGCTGGTTTGCCCTGAAGGGTGTCCTGGATCAGGGTGGGGGTCCCCACTGGGGTGCCTGGCCAGCCTGGGTGAGGGGATGATGGCTGTTTGCAGCTGGTCACACACCCTTCCGGGTGGGGGTCCCCACTGGGGTGCCTGGCTGGTCTGGGTTAGGGGCTGAGGGCTGTTTTCAGGCTGGGGGTGACTGAAGCTCCCAACCGCTCCTTTCTTTTTTTTTTTTTTTTTTTATTCTGGGCCAGCTTTAGCTTTGAGGCTTGGCTCCAGCTCTTAGGCCTCCGCTGCTAAAAGTAGGTTTCTGGCCTTTGCTTACAATGTTGCGATCCTGCTGGCTGAAGCCGGGCAGACTAAAGCAGGTTTCTGGGGTTTTGTTTAGCTTCTATATTTGTTACATAGTTGCTTAGAGTTGCAGCTCAGAGGCCTGCAGCGGCAGGCGGGGAACGCTGGAGTCCTCCGTCACTGAAGCAAGCAAGCCTCATGTTAGTTTCAAGCTGCCTGGCTGCCGGCCGCCATCTTGGCTGGCAGTTAATTTGAATATCTCACTGATTAGCCAATGGGAAGGGTAGCGGTTGTACGCCAATTACCATGTTTCTCTTTTATTAGATAGGATAGGTGGTAATTGTTTCTAATTATAATTTTGATATACACTGGCTGTAAGAAAATTCCTTACAGATCTGGGTAGTGAAAGTTCTCCAACCCCAACTTCTAAAGATAAGCACCATTAACAGTATAGTATACACTCCTTGATTTTTTTTCTATAAATATATAGTAGCATATTATGTCTTTAAAATTTTTTAAAATTGATTTTTAGAGAGGATGGGAGAGAGAGAGAGAGAGAGAGAGAGAGAGAGAGAGAGAGAGAGAAACACATCGATATGAATTGGCTGTTCCCGATCTCGGGATCTGACCAGAAATCTAACCCACCACCTTCTATTACACTGGATGAGTCCCAACCAACTAAGCCACACCAGCCAGTTACTATGTCTTTTAAATGGAATCACATCATCTTGAAACTTGCTTTATTTCCTATATCAACACACACAGAGCTACCTTGTATTTTTTAAATTAGTTTAAACATACACATTTTATACAAAATTCAATAGCCACAAAAGGGTATTTTATGAAAAACAAGCCTCCCTTCAGCCATCCATCCGTTTCTTGGGTAGCCTTCTGGGGCCTCGTTTCTTTTAATAGCAACATAGCCTCCCATTGTATGGATGTTCCAAATCCATATACCAACTTACTTTGGTGTTTCAACAGATTGTTTGCAATGCTATTACCTACTAGAATCTACATTCCATGTCAATCTTATCAATTACTTATCACTCTAATTTTTTTTAGCAACATGGTGCCCCACATTGCACAGATGCACCATAATTCATTTATCCATTTCCCTACTGATGAGAATTTAGGCTTAAACACTAAGCATTTGCCCTGCTCGTAGGACTTGTGCTGTTAAGCACTTCTGCGATTTGGCGGGCAATCTAGTTTATGTACCGAGCTATGAGCTAGCTCCTCGAAGTCAGAGGAGAGTGTTCACATTCATCCTGGTGTCCTCACTGCCTAGCCCCGAACTTGGCCGGGAGCATACGCTCACGACGCTGGAGTGTAATAGTCATACCGCCCGCACTGGCACGGGTTCTGCCACGGAGAGACGGAACGAAAGGAAAGCCGAGCCTTTTGAATTGTCCCAGACTGAGGGGCCGGAACTTTGGTTGGGAGGGTCATTGTTTCTCAGGGACGATTCTAGCGTCAATGTGTACCCCGCACAAACATGGTTGCTACGCACCGGAAGTACCGGTTATTTTGCTGGAATCGGTTCTTCCGCGGGGCGGAAGAGGCATGTCTGCCTGTTCCCAGATCATTTCCAGCCCCCTTTCCTAGCAGGAACCCATGAGTAAGCTGTGGCGGCGCGGGAGCACCTCTGGGGCTATGGAGGCTCCTGAGCCAGGTAAGCGCGGGTCGATAGAGCAACTTAGGAGTTCCTTCGCAGAAAAGGAGTTCCTTTCTCGCTTCTCGGAGCTTTCAAGGTACTTGGCCACAGGTGGGAGGAGAAAGGCGGGGCTGTTGCTATGGTAACAGCAAGTACCGCGGGAAGAGTGGGAACCCTTAGGGAAACTGGGCTCTTCTGGGCTCTCACTACCCCACTCCTGCCTCACACCGATGACAGGCTCTCCTTCCGCAGGGGAGGCGCTGGAGTTGAGTCTGGCGGGTGCCCACGGCCACGGAGTGCACAAGAAAAAGCACAAGAAGCACAAGAAGAAACACAAGAAAAAACACCATCAGGAAGAGGAAGCTGGGCCCACGCAGCCGTCTCCTGCCAAGCCCCAGCTCAAACTCAAAATCAAGCTGGGTGGGCAGGTTCTGGGCACCAAAAGGTGAGGCCAAGGGAACCAAGGTTTTACTTGGGGAACTTTAGAAGGAGGCAAAGAAAAGAGACGCTGGCTGGGCTTTCCAGAAGATAGAGTGGACACGGTGACTTGGGGGCCCAGGAAGAACCTAGAGGGTGTGGGGACAGCTGGAGGTAGCTCCTGAGCGGAAGGAAGATACTTGCCCCGCTTACAGAGTGGTGTTGCTTCTCTGCAGTGTTCCTACCTTCACTGTGATCCCTGAGGGACCCCGGTCCCCCTCTCCCCTTATGGTTGTGGACAATGAAGAGGAACCAATGGAAGGAGTCCCCCTTGAGCAGTACCGTGCCTGGCTGGGTGAGAAGGAGCTGGAGGTGGGGAAACAGGGTTCCTCATTATACCCGATGAAAGGGAGGAGGTTACTTCTGAGGAGGGAGGGAATTTTGAGTGTTCCAGTACTAACTTGGCCACATTCGGGTGCCCCACCTGAACAATTCTACTTTTATCTCTCCAGATGAAGATAGTAATTTGTCCCCCTCCCCACTTCGAGATTTGTCGGGGGACTTAGGGGGTCAGGAGGAAGAGGAGGAACAGAGGTGGCTGGATGCCCTGGAGAAGGGGGAGCTAGATGACAATGGGGATCTCAAGAAGGAGATCAATGAACGGCTGCTCACTGCTCGACAGGTAAATTGGTTCATTCTTCATTCAGTTACCAGATATTTAGAGAGGACCTTCCATGTCCCAAGAACTTTGCTGGGCATTGGGCAATCACTGATGGAGAAAAGACACTTTACTGTTCGCATGGAGCTGGTATTCATGTGTGTGTAGGTAAATAAGGAAATAATCTTGAAAAGCAGTTTATAAAAAAAAAAATAGGGTGATGAAACAGAAAGTGGTAGGAAAGAAACATTAGATAGGGAGGGAAGACCTCTTTGAAGAGCTAACATTTCCAGTACCAGAGGAGCTTTGGTCTGGCATTGAGCACTTGTCTAATTGATGCTTCAATGAGATAAAGATTTAACAACAAACAGAAGTCCTCAGAAATATGGTGCAGAGAATTTGGTACACAAGGCAGGCAGGTAACATTACTGCATTACTGATACTTTTCCCCTTGAGAGTCAAGGACCTAAAGCTGAAAGTCTGGAAGCCGGGGGGGGGGGGGGGGGGGGGGGGGGGGGGGGGGGGGGGGGGCAGTAGTAAGGGCTCCTGGAAAGGGCACTCATCCCACCCTCCTCCCAAGGCCTGCGCTCCTTGTGACCCTTGCTTTCCACTTGCCCTCCTGGCCCTTCCTGCAGACCTCGCTTCTCCATTTTCTGATTTTCTGACACCACCTGTCTCTCCCCAGCGAGCTATGCTCCAGAAGGCGCAGAGTCAGCCTTCCCCGATGCTGCCGCTGCCTGTGGCTGGGGGCTGCCCGGCCCCCGCCCTCACCGAGGAGATGCTGCTGAAGCGCGAGGAGCGGGCTCGTAAGAGGCGGCTGCAGGCGGCGCGGCGGGCGGAGGAGCACAAGAACCAGACTATCGAGCGCCTCACCAAGACGGCAGCGCCCAGCGGGCGTGGGGGCCGAGGGGCCGCGAGGGGGGAGCGGCGGGGAGGGCGGGCCGCGGCCCCGGCCCCCATGGTGCGCTACAGCAGCGGGGCACAGGGTTCCACCCTTTCCTTCCCACCTGGCGTCCCCACCCCCGCACCAGTGTCTCAGCGGCCACCCCCGCCTGGCCCTCCTCCGCGGTGTTCGGTCCCTGGCTGTCCGCACCCGCGCCGCTACGCCTGCTCCCGCACAGGCCAGGCACTCTGCAGCCTGCAGTGCTACCGCATCAACCTGCAGATGCGCCTGGGGAGACCCGAAGGCCCCGGGTCCCCCCTTTTGGCTACTTAAGGCCCGTAACCAGGACTCTGTACCCTCCCCCCTGCCCGATTCAGTGTCTTCCTTATTAAATGTTATCCGGTGCCTCGACTTGTACCGAGTTTACAGAATTGAGTGTATGGGGTATGGGAAGCCAATTCCCTGTCCACACATACTGCCCCCATCAGAGCTGCGCTCACGCCTCGGAAACGTCCGTCAAGCCCGGGCACAGGAAGGCTGGCCGCTGGCGCTCAGACTCCGCCGACTTTGGGGACTCCCACCTCTTCCAGCGGGATTACCTGGCGTGATCGGGCATTTGGCATCATTCCAGGAAACAGGACTCAAGCCAATCAGAGGGGAGCTTGCTCTCCTGGGCGGCCGTTCATTGGTTGACAACTTGAAGCCTGTTCTGTTGTCCACGTTGGCTATTGTCGCTGTCAGTCAGGGCCGTGGGTCGAACCTACCCCACTCTTTGTCTGGGAGAGCGCTTGTTGTCTGGGAGAGTGGCAGGGGCGCTGCTGTGGATTGGTCACCAGCAAAAGCCTCCGATCCGATCCTATTGGCCCGTTCGCCGGAGGGCGATGCTGATTGGTAGGACGGAGCAACCTGGCTCCTAGTTGGCAGAGCTCTCCCCGGATGGGAGCTCCGGCCGCGGAGTGATGGTGGCGGCAGCGGAGATGGGCCGGGCAGGGACCATGGCGGTGGCGGCAGAGGTGGCAGGGGCGGGGCGGCTGGCAGTAGAGGAGGCTGTAGTCTTCAGGGGGCTGTAGGTGGAGGCATGGCTCGGGCCAGCAGCGGGAACGGCAGCGAGGAGGCCTGGGGGGCACTTCGGGTGCCGCAACAGCAGGTATCCCATCAGCTCCAAAAGCATATCCCGATAGCCATCTATTTCCTTTTCCCCTTTTCTGTCCCTTTCTTTTGGGGGGGTTGGGTAGGAACTCACGGAGCCAAAGGTATTGTGAAGTTCCTAAATATGTCCCTTTCATTCTTTGTTTAAACTTCGTAATGTAGATGCAGTTGACTTTGCCTGCAGCCTCACAGACCCATCCCATGGCTGCAATGGGAGCTTACAGTGACTCTCCAGTGACCAGAGGCATAGTGAGGCCCCAGGGAGGCTCCCTGTCTTACAACAGTTATTTGTGTTGCCTTTCTGTGTGCCTGTTGTCACAACAGAGCCCATAGCGTCTTCTCTTGAGGGAGCAATTTGGAGAAGAGCTGGAACCCAGACTCGCGCCCTGGATGCCATCCTTTATCATCCACAGCAATCCCACCTAGTTGGGAGCACTGCTCTGGGTCTCACACTGTCCCTCCTCTATCCTAGGAAACTGAGACTCGGGGGTGGAAAGGTCCACCTTGGGGATGGGGAATGGCAGACCATGGGGGATGATGAGCATCTTAGTGTTGGAAATTACTTTAAACCCTTTACCCATTGTCTGAGATTTTGAGATTGCTCTGATTCAGGCTTCTGCCCAAACACCCTGTTAACAGAAAATGCCCTGGGGCCAGTCTATATGCAGAGCTGAAATCTGCCTCTGCGTTCACATCTTCATCTTGTTCTCCAGGCTGATTTTTGCTATTCCAAATCCTCTTCCATGTTGACAGCCCTTCAGACATTTGAACAATCCTCTCAGCATCACTCTTGCCTCCTCATAGATCTGTGCTCCACTTGGTTCACAGGGTGGGCTTGTGGATGTGCATGCAGGGGCTGGGTGTGGGGGTGAACAGTGCCTTGGGCTGGAATCTCCCTTGGTGCCAAGTGCCTCCTTGCTCCCAGCTTCGAGAGGTTTGCCCAGGAGTGAACAACCAGCCCTACCTCTGTGAGAGTGGCCACTGCTGCGGGGAGACTGGCTGCTGCACCTACTACTATGAGCTCTGGTGTGAGTCTCTGTGGGGGCTGTTCTCGGGTCCTTCTGCCCACCCTCCCTTGGACCTCAGAATTCTAGCCTTCAGGGACCCTTCTTTGCATGGGAGGTATCTGAGACTCTTCCTCTTCACCCCCCTGCAGGGTTCTGGCTGCTCTGGACTGTCCTCATCCTCTTTAGCTGCTGTTGCGCCTTCCGTCATCGACGAGCTAAACTCCGGCTGCAGCAACAGCAGCGGCAGCGTGAGATCAACTTGTTGGCCTACCACGGGGCATGCCATGGGGCTGGCCCTGTTCCTACCAGTTCACTGCTTGACCTTCGTGAGTGACTTGAGGCTCTGGGCTCACTACCAGTGGCTCCTCCTCAATGAGGACCCTGAATCATCCCCACATTTTGTTTTCAGACATTTCAAAGCACACTTTTCCCTAACAGTAAAGAGACCACCACCTCATCCCTGGTTGCCTTCAACCAACTATGCCGTTCTTTCCTGCAGGCCTCCTCAGCGCCTTCAAACCCCCAGCCTATGAGGATGTGGTTCACCGCCCGGGCACACCACCACCTCCTTACACTGCGGTCCCAGGCTGCCCCTTGACTGCTTCCAGGGAATGTACCTGCTGCTCCTCCACTTCTAGCTGCCCTGCCCACTTCGAGGGAACAAATGTGGAAGGTGTTTCCTCCCACCAGAGTGCCCCCCCTCATCAGGAGGGTGAGCCTGGGGCAGGGGTGAGCCCTGCCCCCACACCCCCCTCTTGCCGCTATCGCCGCCTGACTGGTGACTCTGGCATCGAGCTGTGCCCTTGTCCTGACTCCAGTGAGGGTGAGCCAGTCAAGGAGGCTAAGGCTAGTGCTATTCAGCCAGATCTGGGGGACTGTCCCCCGTGTACACTGTCCCTAGACCCCATACCCCAAGTTTCTTCTATGGGGCTGGCTACCAGTGAAGGGGGCATCCCATAAGCAGTTTGAGGAGGATGGGTTGGTTGCTTGCCCACTAGAAACAGCCCTGGTTCCAACTCCTGGAGTTCTCGGCCTCTCCCTGCCTTCCTAGAATCTGCCTGAAAGGGCTGGAGTCCTGGGACAGGGGCCATGTTTGGGGGACTGTGCTAGCTCTACCCCCAGTGACATACACAGGAGCCTTTGATCTCATTAAAGAGATGTGAACCAGCTGCTTGTGGACTTGGGTGGTCTAGTGCTCAACTCACTTCATTGTACCTGAATGGACTTGGAGGGGACAGGTAATGGCCACCTTTCCTAGCTTCCCTGAAGGATAGGAGGCAGCCCTAAGGCCTGGACTGAGCTAAGACCTCTTGGTCAGGCAAAGCTGGCAAATACAATAATTTGGCATGGTTTTCCAATTTATTTAAAAAAATAGACTTTGAATTCACATTCACCCCTGGGTTGTGTGGGATGATAATGAGACACCTGAGATGAGGGTTTGGAGCACTGGTATCTGAGGGTTGGGGGCAGAAGTTAGAAACCTAGTCCCAATAGTCCAGAGTGGTACAGGGACCTCACTCCCCTCCCACACTCTCCCTTTAGTAGTCTTCAGCCATGGCCAGTAGAACAAGGCTGGTCCAACCCTGGAAAGGGCGGCAGCCCATGCCCCGCCCATCCCGGTCACTGTACTGCTCCCACAGGAAACCTGTGGCCTGATACTGCCTCAACACATTGCCCACCACATTGGCACGGAGCTCACTGTGGAGCTTGGCAGCACGGGCTTGGTGAGGACCCTTGAGATGCCCATAGTGGTGGAGTGCCCCTAAGGCCAGGTAGTTGACATTGAGCCACACAGCTCCTCGCCAGTAGGGAGGATCATGCTCTGAATTGCGTTGGCCATAAAAGGGGCTGGAGGCTGCAAGGGAGCGTAAACCAAAGGGGCTCCAGAGATGGCGACTGTCAGCTAGAACATCCAGCAGTGGCCCAAGGCGGGATGAGTGGGGGTCCAGCAGCCGCAGCAACAAGGGGAAAAGACTGACATAGCCCAAGGCATCCACATACTGCAAGCGAGGGTGGGGCCGGCCCACCACCCGAACCAGCCCATGAGGGGGACGAGGCTTCAGATGCACTGCTTTTGTGTGGTTCCCAAAGTCTGCAAAAACTCCTAGCTCTGGGGCCCAGTGTAACTCATCCAGGATCTCCTCTGACCCCAGTGAGGCAGCCAGCGGGCCCAGCTCTGCAACTGCGTCAGCCTCTCCCAACTGCTCTGCTAGCTGCACCAGCACACGGGCACCCAGTGCCACCCAGCACCGCAGGTCCAGGTGCCGTTCAGTGGCTGAAGGGTGCGAAGCACGGGGATAATCATCCAGCCCTGAAGGCAGTGTCTTGGGATTCAATAGGGTTGGCAAGGCCGAGTCCCGACCCCGCCAGCGGTAAGACAGTGGCACTGGCCCTGCCTGGCTCTGATGAAGCCAGGAGAACCAGGCATGCAGGCGGGGGAAGGCCCTGCGGAGGAAGGCTAAGTCGGCAGGATCGTGACCCTCTAGCATGTGGGCTACAGGCAAAAGCAGGGTTGGGGGGTTGGCATGGGCTGCCCGTTGCACCAGGAATTCTGAGGGTACCCGGACTCTGGCCTCATCCCCCAGCACCTGCTCCCGCCCAATCCACCCATCAGCATTGAGTAGCCCCAGCCAGTGGCCTAGGGCCTCCCGGGTGAGGCGGGGATCCCATCGCTGGACCAGTAGCTGGTGAAAGCCCTCATCCCAAAGAAAGCCTCGTGGGAAGAATGACCGGGAGGGCACTGCTGTGAAGAGAGGGACAGGTGGGAAGAGGGCCGGGGCCACCTTCTGCTCAGATCCCTCCACCTTCATGTCTGGCAACACAAGACCCTGCCCATAGAAGTAGCCAATCCCACCAAGGAGACCGCTGAGGGCAGCCTGACCCAAAGCTTGCTCCTCAGGGCTCAAGCCCTTCTTCTCTAACTGGAAGGTCTTCTCAAAGCGCTCTCTAAAGGCTTCAGCATGGCTCTCCAGGGCCTGGGTCAGCAGGCTGCCTGCCAGCTGCCCCAGGGCTTGGTTTCCTCCCGCCTGGGCACTGCCAGATTCAAACACCAGCTCCACAGAAAAGGGGACTTTCACTGTCACCTGTTGTATCAGGAACTGCCCTTGTCCCTGTCCTTGCCCATTCGGGCCTCTGTCCTCCCACTTCAGAGATCCTGGCAAGCCAAGGTAGCGTTCAGGGGAAGCCCCTGGGGGCCGATGCTGAAACCAGCTATTTAGGCGACTCTTCACCGTCTCTGTCAGCAAGGGAAGTCCTGGGTTGGAGGACCAGAAGACATTGTAGCTTGAAGGGAAGAAGACAAATAGGAAATATTATTCAGGAGGGGAGAAGTAGGAGGGATTATAAAAAATATGAGGTGATCAGGGGTTAGGATGGCAAGGTCTTGACAAAGGAGGGGGCATGGAGTCTGGTGTGAAGGGAAATAACTGGTGGAAAGAGGGCAGAGTAGAAGAGATGGAAACCAAGCTAAGTTAGCATCCCTACCACCCCTACCACCACCCCCACACTCTCTCCCCACCCCAGTTACCTGCCATACTTGGGAGTAGTATTCCCTGGACTGGTTGGTGCCAGAAGTGTAAAACGGAAGTCACCAAGTTCACTGGAGTGCCCACTGATGAACTTCAACTGGCCCTTAGCTCCAACCTCTGGCACTAAGACTTCCTTGCCATCTGTCACCACATAGAAGAACAGGGACACCAAAGGGAGGGCAGAGGTACCTGAGGCCTAGATGACCAAGGAGGACAGAAAAAACATTGCATTAGATTTACATTCTCTCTTGAGAATCACACTTAGTGAGGGAAAGGGGCACCAGTTTAGAGCAACATGAGAAACAACATATACAGTGGAACCTTGGTTCTCGAACTTAATTCGTTCCAGAAGGCTGTTCAAAAAGCGATTTGTTGGGAAACCGAATCATTTTACCCAGTAGAAACCATGTAAATGGAATTAATCCATTCCAAAGACCCCGTTTTAACCTTTCTTATATACAGCACATGTCTAATGTACTGTGTAATATATAAGCAAACACTTTTTTTCTCAAATTTACCCCCTACCAGCCTTAAATGAGTCACTTTTAGCATTCGGTCCACGGATGTCTCTTAGGTCAGCATACAGCATATTTGCTTGTTCATATATCACCGCCTCCGAAAATGGCTGTCACTGGCTAACTGCTTTTCCTTTATCTAAATCAACAGTTTTTCTACCTCTTCAATTGCCTATGAGCATTGTTTCTTTCCCACCCTTAGCAACATTAGCACTCTTGATGGTCTCTATGTTTTAAAAATGTGCTAATCGTTAATTTCACCAGCTACAAAAGCATTCTCTCCTTTGTTGCCTGAGAGACGCTTTTTGTCACGCTGAGGTATCAGCACGAGAGGGTTGTCAGGTCCAAAACCAAAGTTTGGTTTGACAACCAAGACATTTTTTTCTGTGAACAACTTGGTTGAGAACCGAATAGTTGGAGATGGAAGTTGTTGGAGAAACGAGGTTTGACTTATCTGGCAGTGTTGAGGGTCAACACCCAGTGGGGTGAGTTAAAGATCCCCGCGCAGAGTTCTCTGGGAAATAATGAGTATTTCTGTGCCATGTATTATGCTGAGAACTCTACATATATTTCCTTGAATTCTTACAACCCTGTTGGGTGCTATTTTTATCTCCATTTCACAGAAAGGAAACCAAGGCTTAGGAATTGTAAATACAGGTGGTCTTACAGGCAAGTGTTTCAGGCAACCAGATCCAAACCAGATGGCCAGACCCAGCTCCAGCTGTCACCCCCCACTTCGTACTGCACTGCTGGCAGCCAAGGAAGAATGGAGGGAGTCTGGGCTGGGGAAGGGCGCCCTGAGGCCCTGACCTGAGGCTCTACAGTCACTCTCCAGCTCCAGTCCCCTCCGTGCTGACCCCCGGGTCTCTTGACGAATTCAGTGGTGAGCCTTAAGGCCCCATCCTGGATGTGTTGCCGCCCGAAGGAGAGGCCGTCGTGGAACTCCCAGCCATAGGGACCCACGCCGTCCCCCTGCTCACACGTGTGCCTGAGCTTAGGGGTGGTGCCATGCTGTGCCCACATCAGTCCTGGGGGTAGAATGGCCACGTAAGTCAGAGAGCAGCGCCCCTGTCCCTGTGTCTACGAGGACTGCAGGGTCATCCCTCCTCGGAACTCTCCTGACCCGCTCCTCCCCACCCTTGCTCTGGAGGACAGCTGGGGCGCCCAGATGAAGACTTCGCTTGCCTGCCCGCCGGGGCCCGGTTACCGGTGAGGAGGGGCTGCGGGCTGCGGGTCTTCATGCCGAAGTAGACGTGAGGGCGGTAGGTGCCCCAGAAGAGGTCGGGGGTCACGGCGGGGCTAGAAGAGTCGGGAGGCAGCGCCGGGGGCGCGGAGTGCAGCGTGACCGCCCGCCGCGCACGGTGCCACGCCAGCAGCCAGCTTCCCGACAGGGTCAGGGCCAGAGGCAGCACCACGATGACCAAAACTGCTGCCGCGACCGTGCCCCGGGCCACGCCGCCGCGGCTTTCCCGTCGCGCGGGGCCGCCCCGAGCCGCCCCCTCCGCTCCCCGCGCTCCATCTACCGGCGCGCCGCGGCGCCGCCGCTCGCCCCGAGCCATTCTGGCACGGAGGTCGGCGTCGCGAGAGCTTCGAGGGGCGGCCGAGAACCTGTGTCCTGCCTCTCCGCCCCAGCTCCAGCGTAGCACTCAGGCGGCCACTCATCTGAACGCGGCACCTCCTGTTCCGCTTCCGCCTCTCGCCGGAAGTCCCGCCCCGCACCTCAGCTTAAGTTCCCTAGCCCGGAACTGGCGTGTCGCTGTGGCACGCGTTAGGTCCCCTGGGCCGTGTCTACTGGGTCAACGTTTATTTGGTATCCTCACGAAGTCCACAGGCTCGTAGAAAAAAAAAATCTCCGATTAGGCTCCCTTAAATATATTTATTATATATTCGCTATCCTGAGTGTTAGCGTATGCTCTGACCAGGAATCCACCTGGTGACCTGGTGCAGGGGAAGACTCCCACACTCTTGGAGAGAACTGGGAAGTTATCATTCAAAACTAGGAACAGCCCTAGCTGGCCTGGCGCAGTGGATAGAGCGTGGGCCTGCGGACTGAAGGGTCCCAGGTTAGATTCAGGTCAAGGGCACATGCCCGGGTTGCAGGATCGATCTCCAGGAGGCAGCCGGATCAGTGATTCTCATCATTGATGTTTCTCTCTCTCTCTGAATTCAATAAAAATAAATTTTTAAAACACCACAGCAACACAACACACACACCAAACTACAACCAACCATTGGTGTGGGCTGTAAGCTACAAATTATATAGGGCAAAACCACAAAACACCATGGGTTAAAGGTTCTGCTGGGAGTTTATTGGTTGGAGGTAAGCATAATAAATCATTTCTTCAGGTTTTTAAATATATATATATATACAAATTTTTTTTTAATTATTGATTTTAGAGAGGAAGGGAGAGAGAAACATCAATGATGAGCCCTAGCTGGTTTGGCTCAATGGCTAGAGTATCATCAGCCTGGGGACTGAAGGGTCCCAGGTTTGATTCCAGTCAAGGACACATGCCTGGGTTTCGGGCTTGATCCCCAGCAGGGGGCACGCAGGAGGCAGCCAATCAATGGTTCTCTCTCATCATTGATGTTTCTTTCTCCCTCTCTGAAATCAATTAAAAAAATACTTTTAATTAAAAGAGAAAAAGAAAAAAAGAAACATCAATGATGAGAGAGAACCATTGATCGGCTGCCTCCTGCACGCTCCTACTGGGGATCTAGCCCGCAACCCAGGCATGTGTCCTTGGCCAGAATCAAACCTGGGACCCTTCAATCCAAAGGCCGACACTCTATCCACTGAGCCAAACCGGCTAGGGCTTCTATAGGTCTTGAGGGCAGCTGAGGTGTGTTGCCAGGTCCCTCTGTCCGGTTTTATGGGAAAGCAGTCAGAGAGTGCTCCACCTTAGGACTCAGCTGCTGAAACATAACTTAGGTCAAGATGTTATCTTGCCCTGGCTGATGTGGCTCAGTTGGTTGGAGTGTTGTCCCATACACCAAAAGGTGGCAGGTTCAATTCCCAGTCAGAGCATACACCCAGGTTGTGGGTTCCATTCCTGGTGGAGGGGTGTGTGTGGGAGGCAACCCATTGATGTTTCTCTCACAGGTCAATGTTTCTCCCTTCCTCTCTCTAAAATAAAAATTTAGCGGGGAGGGGGGAGGGGGGATGGGGGAAAAGGGGACATGTATAATACTTTTAACAATAAAGAAGTATTTTATTTTTTAAATATATTTTTATTAATTTCAGAGAGGAAGGGAGAGGGAGAGAGAGAAACATCAATGATGAGAGAGAATCACAGCCCGCAACCTGGGCATGTGCCCTTGACTAGAATCGAACCTGGGACCCTTTAGTTCGCAGGCTTACGCTCTATCCCAGGGGTGGGCAAACTTTTGACTTGAGGGCCACAATGGGTTCTTAAACTGGACCGCAGGGCTGGACCAAAAGCATGGATGGAGTGTTTGTGTGAACTAATATAAATTCAAAGTAAACATCATTACATAAAAGGGTACGGTCTTTTTTTTTTTTAGTTTTATTCATTTCAAACGGGCCGGATCCGGCCCGCGGGCCGTAGTTTGCCCACAGCTGCTCTATCCACTGCGCCAAACCAGCTAGGGCAAGATAGCACCCTTTTAAGCAGAGAAGCAGTACAGTAATGCTGTAGGAGGCTCATGGAAAATGTATTTGGCAAAGCACCCAGCAAGCAGTGTCTAGAGATCCTGGATTGCCTAGCTGAGCATTCTGAAGTTCTCTAAACCAGTGGCTAGCAACCATCTTTTCCTATAAGCCAGCAGTTCTCAACCTGTGGGTCGTGACCATCGGAAAACACATATAGCATATCAGATATTTACATTACGATTCCTAACAGCAGCAAAATTATAGTTATGAAGTAGCAACGAAAATAATTTTATGGTTGGGGGTCACCACATGAGGAACTGTATTAAAGGGTCGGGGCATTAGGAAGGTTGAGAATCACTGTAAGCCATAGTAAAAAAAAAAAAAACTACTTTGTAACCAAGTACATTCAGATGTACACATACTTTATATATCTATACTCACACATATAGTGTCCCCCAAAAAATGTATACACACACTTTGAATAATTATAAAGGCAGTATTTATTAAAATACATTTCATTTTCAAAATTGAGCTATCAGCTATTAAAGTGTGTGTACATTTTGGGGGGATACATTGTATGTAGATTTATAATTATATACTTATAATTATATAGTTAACTTTCTTAAAAGAATACTTCTCATTTCATGTGCCATGCATGCACTGATACTTTTATTCTATTTTACTTTATTAAAGGCTGATTTAACCTCCTAAATTGATTCACGATCCACACTAATGGGTGGTAACTGTATGAAAAGTACTTTAGGTGCTGTTCTCTGAAACAAGTAGTAGTGAGACATAACCAGTGATATGCTTTGGAAAGATAAAATTAAGCAGCAGCAAAAATGATGAGAAAAAAAGGAGGATGTAACAATAATACAGGAGAGTGAATGGGAATGAAGAGAGCATTTCAGGGGCTTTTGTTTAACATAGAATAATATGAACTTACTGACTGGGTATGCAAGGAAAAGGAGACAGCAGAACCAGAGACAATGCTGTGATTTCCAGCCCCGGTGGCTGGGCACATGGAGTGCCTGTAAAAGGAATGGGGAAGTCAGGGAGAGGCAAGTATATGTGTATGTAAGATTATCAATTCTATTTTGAACAAAGAATGTTTGTAAGGTTCGGAGAAAATCGATAGTAGGTAACCTGACTGTAGAACAGAAATTAATATTAGACCCAAACAGAAATGCATGGTTTAACCCAAAAGGGTAGTTCAAGTTATAACCGAAGATGAGATACCCCAAAAATAAAGAGGGGGGGGAGTTTATCTTTATGTTTAAGAGAAGGAAAAGGAAGAGACGTTCCATAGGGAATGAATTAAAAGCGGCAAATGCTACTTAGGTGGAGAGCTCAGGGCTGGGAAAACAGCACTGGATTTAGCTAATAAGAGTGAGAGGTATCACACTTGAGTGAGTGGTGGGGGGAGCCAAATTCAAAACGGTTAAGCGTGAGCGATGGTTAGAAAATGAAATAAACTCAAGTTTGTCTAGGCCCTTCCCGGACCGTCTCATCCCAGAAGCACTGGTTAGATGTGTAGTCATAGGGCTCTTTGGGGGGCGGGGGTGGTGTCTGCGGCCTCCAGACAGTGATCTGGGTGATCAAGTCGAGCTTTTCGCGGATAAGTGTTCGCTAAGGCCCAGGCTAGCATCTGCTCGATGGCCTCTGACGCGCTGTCAGCGGCCCGCCTCGGCGCCAGGGTGGTCCCCGCTCCCCGCCGCGCTCCGGGCCTGGACGTGGGAGGCGAAGGCAGCGAGCATTTCTTGGGCGGTGAGGTGGGCGCCGCGCATCACCAGGCGGTGCCCGTCTCCTGGGGAAGAAGCGAATGAATCAGGTACGAGAAGGCCAACGGGGCGCAGGGGGCGCGGGCTGCCTGCCGCCCCTCCCGCCCGACTCCCCACGCGAGCCCACCGAAAAGCACATCCACGCAGGGCTCGGAGCCGTCGTGCCTCACATCCACAATCACGGAGCATTTCAGGTTGGTGGCGCGGACCTTCTCGCGGCTCACCGCCTGGAGAAAGGTCCTGCGGTGGGAGAGCGGCGTGAGCGCCGGGCCGCAGGGGGTGAGACCCCCGGCGGCAGAGAAACGCGTCCTTTTCCGTCCCCTCTCCCTCCCCCTGGTACCTCGTAGACTCCACGTTGTTCTCGAAGGGGCAGAACTGAACCCGAACCTCCTTGACCGCCCGGAGTCCTAGCCGAGCCAAGGCCGCCGCCGCCATGGTAACCTCCGCCCCGGAAGCACTCGCCCGGACAGAGGTGCCGTCAGAGAAAGAGAGTGGCCGCGCAGCCGCAGGCCCCGCCCCCCGGCTTCCGCCGAGTACAGGCTCCCCGGCCCCAGACGAGGAGCGGAGCTTTCGGCACAGGTGACCGAGGGGCCCGAAGTAATCGGTCTGCGAATCCTACCACCACTCATAGCCCGGTTGTGCCACAGCAAAGGCTGTGTAAAGCCCTGCACCTGCGTTCCCCTTCCGCTCCCTGCTGTGCCCACCTAGTCAACACCATCTTAGGTGCTGTCCCTTAGGAGGAGGACATCGTCACACGGCAGGGACATTGAAAATTAAACCTGTTGAACTCTGAGTAACCAAAGCTTAAACGGGAAGGTCCTGCAGCGCAATATGGTCCCACGGCTGAAAGCAGGAATGGGGGGACAGGGTAATACAAGCCTGGGGACAGATCCAGCTACAGACTGCTTCACCTCCGGTTCCTGATGTACTAACTTTATGTTTGGTCTGACTCTAGACACTTAAGTGGCACCTAGGCTCTCTGTTTCCTGCAGCTTTTTCTCATTCCCTTTCCTCTGGGATACAACCCTATGGCCCTCCTCCCAGTGTCTAGCCCCAAGACGTCTTCACTGATGGGGAGTTAGGCCTGAGCCTCCTGGCTCCAGGCTGTGGTATTGCCATTTACTCTGGATTCTCAGCTTGTACGCCCAGGCGGTGTAGTTTGTCCTCACGTATGTTTTCTTCCAAGCTTCCAGGTGTAGGCTTCTTTAACAGGCAGTTCCTATGTCTGGGCTTTCCCAGCCAGAAATGCAGAGCATTGGCTTCCTGACTGCTGATT